TACATAAATTGTAAAAGCATTTTTCATCTATTCAACAAAATGTCATTCATAAAAGCCTTATTTACGTTTCAGAATGTTCAAAAACATGGAAATCTTCATCCACAAAACCCATGTACATGTTATGTTGGTATATACCGTTACCAACATGTATCAACCTAACTTATTGGTAGCCAAACAAGTTGGTACCAACTTTACTTGGTGTCCGATAGTGATATCAAAATGTTTATACTAACTGTAATTGGTACGGTACACGGTTTAACAAAAAAATATTCGATACCACACTAATTCCACCCCTACTCAATAATATGTCTTGGTAGAGAATAAGATGTAACTAAACATACATATCACATAGTTTTTGCATTTTGTCAGGGACGGTTTAAATATATTTGGTTTCCTAGACAAAAACACTATAAAAGCCCCTTCAACTTACCAAAAGTTCACATGGTGGTTGTTTTTTAGTTAAAACTAGTAATTGATCCCGTGCTTTGCAGCGGTTTTTACGTGTTTTTGTTGCATATTACAAGTACAAAACAAATGGATAAAAGTAATATTTTACAAAGTTTAAGGTGAAAATGATATTTTAAAAAGTAAATGTTGAAAAATATAATTTTACAAAATACAAGTGATGGATTATATAAAGTTGAGATATTAAAGTTGCACTTTACGCATTAAGATACTTGTACATTGAACATCATTATTGTAACATTAGCAAAAAGTAACTTTGTCTCAAAAAGACAAAGTTACCTTTATATATATATATATATATCAGTGTTGCAGAATAATCGCTAATCGGACCTCAACCGATGTGATTTATTGCTAATCGGTCACTATAATCGGGTTTGGTCAATACAGGTCAAAGTCGGATTTAATCGGACCTAATCGGGCCTAATCGGACCTAATCGGGTTTGATCAACGCAGGTCAAAGTCGGACCTAATCGCTTTTTTTGTATGATTAAAATTAGATTTATAAGTTTTTGAATAATTTTCTTAATAATTAATGGTCCCCAATTAATCTTCCGATTAATCCCCGCCTAACCGATTAATCCCTAATCGTTAGGCCATCGATTAACAATTTCTACAACCATGATATATATATATATATATATATATATATATATATATATATATATATATATAAACCAGGTAGTTTTGTTTTTCAATTAAATGGACTATAAAATTATTATTGCTATGTAAAAAATAAAATTATATATATATATATATATATATATATATATATATATATATATAAA